TTCATTTTTAAAGGAATCAAGACGTAACAAAAAAGGTTATACGTAATTTTACTTTGTCTATCAAATGGCTATCTCGGTTTTTTGAAAATTTTGGATTTTGGCCTAAATGTTTTCAAAAAACTGATTTTTTTGGGAAAATCATTATAAAATCCAAAATTTTGAGTCTATCAAAAAAACCGGAATATATGTCAGAGAAGTGGTCTATGTGCACCTACATACCAAATTTTAGAAGAATCGGTTCAAAAATGTGGGAGTTATTCAAAATTTTATGACGTCACGACACACAAAATTTTTGAAAAATGACTTTTTTGGAAGTTCTACACCTTTTTAGGCGCAATTTCAAAAAGTGAAAGACCATATTCAAAAAGTTTAAGTTCGATTTCAAAAAGCTGAACACCAATTTCAAAGAGCTTAAGTCCAATTTCAATAACCTTTAATTCATTTTCAAATAAGTGAAGTCCAATTTCAAAAAGATAAAATGCAATTTCAAAGTTGTTGAGTGATGCAATTAGTTATAAGTAATAAAAAAATTTTTGCCATAGCGAACATGATGAGATGTTAGATTCACTCGATGAAAGATGTAGGACAACGATTGGTATCATAATTATATAATATTTTGTTACTTGCATAGGTATATATGTTGGCGCATTAAATTGCAAACAAAGAAGAAATATGGGACTATGTTGCATTTGTGTGCATGTTTGCTGGTCAGAATTACAGGTACTATAATTCTGACTATTCTGACTAATAAATAAGGTATATCGTTTTACGACATTGGTTTTTAAATAAAAGGAGCACGTAACACATTTATTACGAGACAAAACAAACACAAGAGACCTCACGCATGAAACAGGTGCAGGAGAAATGCGTAGCATGGTACAATCCGTGCGAGAATGATTGTACACTTGTACGTTCACTATATACAATCTACATGGGTGCTCAAAAGTCGCAGATATTCACACGATCGTTGTAGGAGCATGTCACCGGCAGTGCTCATTGTCCGCCGAGGTGTTTACCGTTTAGCAGCCCATGGCAAGGTCAGCCAGGGTCATACACCCTGCATAGTGGCGCTGCACATGGTTATAGAAGTGAAGGCACATCACTGGAGTGATCTGCTCCATTGCCGCGTCAATTCTCGCTTCCAGATAGCGCAGGCGGTGCTCCTGCTGGGTCATTCCCTGCGGAGTGGCCATCATCTCCCCCAAGGAGCTGGACATGCTTTGCTTCATGTGGGCCTTCATGGACGACCAAACCGCCTCGATGGGGTTCAGCGGAGCGCTGTACGGTGCCGTTCTGAGCAGCTCCAGTCCGGGGAAGTCCGCCACGACGCTCTCCAGGTCCGTGTGTACGGGTGCGTTGTCGCAGACCACAGTGGTTTGGTCCAGCGGTGTTGGGCAAGCCTCGAGGGCGCGCCTCAACCATTCTTTGCAGTCATCCTTTCGAAAAGAACCTCTCCTTCGCTCCCAGTGCACCATACCTGTCTGGGACATGGCGCCTATCACATGGATGTTTGGACCCCTAGCATTGGCCGCTTTGACTGAGCAGCGCGTGCCTCGGAGAGAACGACCTTGCGAGCGCCGTAAGAACAGGTTCACGTTGGTTTCATCAATGTAGATGATGGTCCTTCCTTGCCCGTTCGCTTGCATGACCTTCTGTACGAAGAGGGCCCTTTTCTGTTTGTTGTCCAGACTGTTCATCGATATAGGTTCAACATTCACCTTCTTAATGGTAATACATCCGTCCATTGAGATGGCTGTGGATCGTCGGCAGTGACAGTGAAACTCCCGTGTCAGCTTCCAGTTTGCGACCGATCTCCGTCAGTGTTATCAGGGGATTCTCCTCTACGTATGTCAGCATCTTATCCACCATTGGACCGTCTACTTTCTTGGAGGTCGCTCCGCCACGGGGCGCTGGAGTGTAGCCGTCTGGTCTGGTTATATAGCCATACGCCGTTCTGACTGCGACACCGTTTGCCGTGGCGGCAAGCTTCCAGTCACCGCCTGCTCTGTATACATCCAGGATGCGCTCCCTGGCATCAGCGCAGACGCGTTTGTAGGGGCCGCGTTTGGTACCCGGCGCCAGCCCCCGTCTGCGGCGCGGCCCCGCGGCCGGCTGAGGCGGACCATCACCTGACCCGCTGGGGCGCGGCCCCGCGGTCGGCTGAGGCGGACCGTCACCTGACCCGCTGGGGACTGGTGAGGTCGCCGGCCCATCGTCTGTCTCGGCAAAAGTGACCTCAATATCATCTGGATCAAAATGATCGTCCACGTCCTGGGACGACGCAGACATGACCGAGGTTATGAATTAAACGCGATATAATAAAATTACGGTCAGCAAATAGAGCTAGTAAAAAATAAACAGATTATGATAGATTACATCGATATTACTCAGCTTTAAGTTTCAACAAAGGTCGAACTCGGCGCAAAAACTGCGATCAACAATAGCATTTGTTTTAACATTGCACGTTCTTTTGCATGAAGCAATTTACGTCAACATACTCCTGCTATTGTGAGTCATATAAAAAGGGTCACTTGCAAGATTGATTTCTAGCGTTTTCATCGAAATGACGGTCTAAAAAATTAAACGTTACCAAATGTAATAGATTATTGCATTTCATTTGAAATAGCATTTTATCTTTTTGAAATTGGACTTCACTTAATTGAAAATGGACTTAAGCTATTTGAAATTGGAGTAAAGGTTTTTGAAATTGGTGTTAAGATTTTTGAAATCGAACTTCAGCTTTTTGAATTTGGCCTTAAACTTTTTGAAATTGCGCCTAAAAAGGTGTAGACCTCGTACGGAAACAAAAATAGCACCATTCGATTCGCCGTGAAAAACTGCATCAGATAGACACCTTTTTAGGCCTTAACAACCAACTTCAAAATTTGACCTCACTTGACCTGACCTTGACCTGACCTCGACCTGAAATTCATCCAGAGGTGGTCCATATCACTTATTGAGTGTGCCTATTGAATTCTATGAGTAAAATGACCCATAAAACATGTGTCGCACATGCCCTTTTCTATATTTTGTTTTTTGGTGACCTGACCTGACCTGACCTGACCTTGACCTTGACCTCTGAATGATATTGTATGCAACGAATATTGTCTTGGTAGCCTAAGAACACGTTTTGGGCGATCAGTCTCAGTCCATGACTCCATTCTTCGGCAACTACGGTGCAAGGCCGATACTGTAGAAACTTGCAATTTGTACCCTTGACCTGACCTTGACCTTACCTCAAAATTTAAATTAAGTACATGTTTTTAGTGGTTCGTGATGAGAGCTTTCGATTGGCGTTTGAATTTTCCAAATCGGACCATTAGTTCGGGAGATAACAAGGGGGGTAAAATTTACCCCCCCCAGCCCCGCGCGTTCGGCTGGAGACCCCAGCCCCGCGCGGGTTAAGGGTGTTTTTAGCCACACTCCCGCTTTTTTCGTGTGTTGAGAAAAACCTCGGCGCGCAGCGCCACGAAAACAGCGATATACCTACCTATCTTATTGTATATCACTTTTGCATCGGGCATAAAAATCAAGCACAGGTCACCTGAATTCAGGTCACAATGTCATGTCAAGTTCAGTTTTAATGCCTCTAAAAACTGCAAGCTTGTCATTCCTATAGATTATCTCCTATAAGTCTGAATTTGGTGTAATGAATGGGATTATAAGTGGATGGTCTCATTGTGTTCAGCTCGTAAAGACGCATCGAATGATATACATGATGACCTCGAGGTCACGTGACCTGAGGTCAACCTTTGACCTTTACCTTTCGAGGTTAACATATATATCATTCGATGCGGATTGACAAGAGGATCACGATGATGCCCTTAGCTTTGTTCCTATCTTGACTAATTCGAAAGTTATTCGAGAACAACTCTCTCCATATCTAGCGCCGCCATTTTGACTTTTTCGACCCCTGTGACGTCATCTTTGACCTGACCTGAAAATGACCTTTGAAGAAATTTCAGATCTTGACCGTGCGTATCCGATGCCGTTTACCGCTTGTCGCTATCTTGCTTCGTTCTCGAGATCTCAGGGGGGCCGCCCCGTCGGTGCGAAGTTGGCGCAGACCCCCGTCGGTGCGCGGTGTTGCCTGCATACAAAATTTGAACGAAATCGGACGAGTAGTTTCTGAGATACAAAAAGGGGATGTGCACATGCGCACGTGCATCAGCACCTCAAAATTGGGACATGTATTATTGGCAAGTGTGTTATACCTAGCTGTGTGCCAAATCTGAAGTCATTCCGCCCAGCCGTTCCAGAGATACTGTCACGCCATTTCCATAAACATCTCTCACGCGCCACGTGCAAGTGCTCCCCCGTTACACCGCATCGGTTCGGCGGATGGTGACCATCAATTTCAATGAATGCGGCGGTGAAAAAATGTCGTAGGTAAACTGGCTCCCGAGTTATAAGCGTTTACTTTTAGGGCCGTTGTGGTCATGGCCAGATTTTCTGTGTCCATTCCCTGTATGCAGAGGTCTATGGCGTGACCTATCGATAAAATGATTTGACCACTTGTATTGGTTAGGTCATTGTTTCCTTATTGGTTAGGTTGTTTTCCGCTAAAGTCATTTCGGTAGGCGGAAATTTGACCACCCTGACGTGACTGTTTTCGACGGTCGGCGCTTTCGACGGGCGCTGAAGCTCCTCCCTGCCCGTGATTGTATATATACTGACTGACATGTCTGCAAGCGTGGACGTACGTGAGTGTGAGGACGCATGGCAGAGTGTTTTTGTGTGTGTATGATTCATAGGCTGACCTAAGAATGTACTGCATCGCTCACGCTGTTGACTCGGAGCCATAAAAGCCACTGCTGCTGTGGAGTGCTCCTCAAGGCAAATACAAACAGAAATACGTTTCATTTAGTGCAAACGAAACCACGATCTGGATGCCACTATCTGTTATGTGGCGCACCGGACGTTCGTGTGGATGTAAAGGTGCCTACGGCGAAATCAGCACGATTTCCCCGAATATCTAACGACATGACTGAAAGCATCGCTCCCGTTTCTAAAATGTATTGTATCAGTGGCTGGCATATAGCGGCACAACCAGACTAAATTCCACAAACAAAGGGGCGCCACCACGCCGCCACCATATAGATGCAAATCTGGCTCGGTCCTATACACGATCATAGCGATTACGGTTGTTACAGATATCATTTTCTCTCATTTTGTGTCGTATGCCAAAGTTATCACCAGCGAGCTCTCTAACAGCAGCTCGTCACACGTCAGTGAGTCAGTGAGTCAGTGAGTCAGTGAGTCAGTGTGTCAGTGAGTCAGTGTGTCAGTGTGTCAGTGTGTCAGTGTGTAAGTGTGTCAGTGTGTCAGTGTGTCAGTGTGTCAGTGAGTCAGTGAGTCAGTGTGTCAGTGAGTCAGTGTGTCAGTGAGTCAGTGAGTCAGTGTGTCAGTGTGTCAGTGAGTCAGTGAGTCAGTGAGTCAGTGTGTCGGCTCGTCACACGTCAGTGTGTCAGTGTGTCAGTGAGTCAGTGTGTCAGTGAGTCAGTGAGTCAGTGAGTCAGTGTGTCAGTGAGTCAGTGTGTCAGTGTGTCAGTGAGTCAATGAGTCAGTGAGTCAGTGAGTCAGTGTGTCGGCTCGTCACACGTCAGTGTGTCAGTGTGTCAGTGTGTCAGTGAGTCAGTGTGTCAGTGAGTCAGTGTGTCAGTGAGTCAGTGTGTCAGTGAGTCAGTGAGTCAGTGAGTCAGTGAGTCAGTGAGTCAGTGTGTCAGTGAGTCAGTGTGTCAGTGTGTCAGTGTGTCAGTGTGTCAGTGTGTCAGTGTGTCAGTGAGTCAGTGTGTCAGTGTGTCAGTGAGTCAGTGTGTCAGTGAGTCAGTGAGTCAGTGAGTCAGTGTGTCAGTGTGTCAGTGTGTCAGTGAGTCAGTGTGTCAGTGAGTCAGTGAGTCAGTGAGTCAGTGAGTCAGTGTGTCGGCTCGTCACACGTCAGTGTGTCAGTGTGTCAGTGAGTCAGTGTGTCAGTGAGTCAGTGAGTCAGGGAGTCAGTGTGTCAGTGAGTCAGTGTGTCAGTGTGTCAGTGAGTCAGTGAGTCAGTGAGTCAGTGAGTCAGTGTGTCGGCTCGTCACACGTCAGTGTGTCAGTGTGTCAGTGTGTCAGTGAGTCAGTGTGTCAGTGAGTCAGTGTGTCAGTGTGTCAGTGAGTCAGTGTGTCAGTGAGTCAGTGTGTCAGTGAGTCAGTGAGTCAGTGTGTCAGTGTGTCAGTGTGTCAGTGTGTCAATGAGTCAGTGAGTCAGTGTGTCAGTGTGTCAGTGTGTCAGTGAGTCAGTGTGTCAGTGAGTCAGTGTGTCAGTGAGTCAGTGTGTCAGTGTGTCAGTGAGTCCAAAGTGCAGCTGGATGCGTCGTGCAGCCGGTCGGCCGCTGGCCATCGCTCCTCCGGGCGGGCGGGCGGTCGGCAGAGCAGACCGCCGTGGAGCGGGCGCCGGCCGGCTCAGAAGAACTGGGTGCAGCTGGCGGGCGGGCGGGCGGCAGAGCAGACCGCCGTGGAGCGGGCGCCGGCCGGCTCAGAAGAACTGGGTGCAGCTGGCGGGCGGGCGGGCGGCAGAGCAGACCGCCGTGGAGCGGGCGCCGGCCGGCTCAGAAGAACTGGGTGCAGCTGGCGGGCGGGCGGGCGGCAGAGCAGACCGGCGTGGAGCGGGCGCCGGCCGGCTCAGAAGAACTGGGTGCAGCTGGCCCGGCCGGCGGCACACTCGCAAAGCAGCCCCTCGAACGGCTGGAAGCCGCCGGCCGGGAAAAGGCCCGTGTACCAGCCGCGGTCGCGGCCGAACGCCCGGCCGTTCCACTCGTGGTGGTAGCAGCCTGCCGACCGGTGTCAGAAGGTGTCAGAGGGGTGTCAGAGGGGGGTCAAAGGGTGTCAGAGGGTGTCAGAGGGATGTCAAAGGGATGTCAGACAGTGTCGGAGGGTGTCAGAGGGTGTCGGAGGGTGTCGGAGGGTGTCGGAGGGTGTCAGGGGGTCAGACGATGACAGGGACTGTCAGACGGTGTAAGCAGGTATCAGAGGGGTGTCAGAGTGTGCCAGGGGGTGTCAGGGTGTTTCCGAGGGGTGTGTGATGGTGTCAGAGTGTGTCATAGGATGTCAGACGGTGTCAGAAGTGCCGGAGGGGTGTCACAGGGTGTCAGAGTGTAACCAAGTCGTCATATTGGCGGCTGGTCTATCCCCACGGCCCACACACGGACGAGCTCGACTACTGTGTAGGGGCGCTTGTCTGGCGGCTTGTGAGCTTATCTGGCATCGTGTCTCAAGAAATGCTAAGTAATGATAAACCTTATAGATGAATCTTTCGACTATTCGATTCTCTGCGGTAGAAGGCAGACGGATCAAAACTTTGAAGGGCCACCACCATTTGAAAAAATGGGCAATTTTGGGTGAATGACTCAAGATCGGGACCCCAGCCACCTGCTTCTACAAGTAACACTGAATAACTCCGAAACTACCCTGATAATTCTTGAAGAAGATGTTACGTAGTCAGTGCGTGCCCCGATCCGTAGCCCAGTGTCGCCTCAGCTCAGCGCGACCGCTGTCACCCGTGACGGCAGATGCCGATACTCACATTGCGGGCTGACCTCGCGCACCACGTAGCTGTGCTCGTTGCACATGAATCTCTCGCAGTCGCTGGAGAAGATGGACACCTCCGAGCTGGGTGCGAACATCATGTCGCCTTCGAACGGGCCGCAGCCGGTGCTCAGATCCCCGCAGCCGGGCTTGTCCACCTGCGGGGCGCGGCGCCGTGTCGGCCGACAGTGCGGCAGTGACGCCAGCCAGCCCTCTCAGACTCTCTCCCTCTCTCTCTCTCTCTCTCTCTCTCTCTCTCTCTCTCTCTCTCTCTCTCTCTCTCTCTCTCTCTCTCTCTCTCTCTCTCTCTCTCTCTCTCTCTCTCTCTCTCTCTCTCTCTCTCTCTCTCTCTCTCTCTCTCTCTCTCTCTCTCTCTCTCTCTCTCACACACACACACACACAGACACACACACACGTCATCTTATATCGTTCACTGTACAGTTATAGCAAGCATGACAATAAACCGGCAGATAAGCCAGATATGATTGAGGAAGGATGATATCTCTATAATGATGACATCTTTCACACAAACATTTCCGAAGCAAGAATACGAGTATGTGCTTTCGTATTCGTGAACGATGCCGGTTAAGTCTTCGAATATGGGATAGCCGGCACAATATCTACGCCCTTCATTTCCCGCGCCGGGCCACCGTCCCCCCCCCCCCGCGCTGAGCGCTGACCCCCCTCCCCTGCGCTGAGCGCTGACCACCTCCCCCGCGCTGAGCGCTGACCCCCTCCCCCGCGCTGAGCGCTGAGCGCTGACCGGCGCCGGTCGGCGCCGCGCTCACCTGGCAGATGGGGTAGAGCATGTTGGCCCGGTTGTCGCACATATAGTCCTTCCAGCCCTGCGATTGGCGCGTGACGGTGAGGCCAGCGCAGTTGGTGCGCCGCAGGTCGTCCGGGTGGCCCTCCTCCCAGGGCGCGAACGTCAGCGTGTCGCCCTGCAGCGTCTGCCACTGGCGGCCGCTGAAGCGGGCGTTCACCCAGCCGCCCAGCTCGCGCGTCGAGTCGCGCCCCTGCAGGAGGGGGGGGGGGGGGCAGATACAACACTGGGCCCAAGGGAAGGGGGAGGAGAGGCGGCATTTACCACACTGGGCACGCCAGATTTGGTCGCAACCCTGTACAGACCGGGGAAAGTTGACCCACGGCTCACGGCAGACTCATTGTCAAAAGTAATCACCATTTAGTGTCTTCGTTCGGCGCTGTGCGGGCCCGGCGGCGTCTCCGTGCGTCCGTTACCCCCTGTCCCCGGCGGCGTCTCGGTGCGCCCTTTACCTCCATGTCCCCGGCGGTGTCTCGGTGCGTCCGTTACCTCCCCGTCCCCGGCGGCGTCTCGGTGCGTCCGTTACCTCCATGTTCCGGAATACGCTGATGAGCTGCTCCAGCTGGGCTGCGTTCTGTGGCAGCGCCAGCCGCGCGCGCAGCTTTTGACACGCCGCCGTGGCGTTGTTGAACGTCATCAGCTCCCTCCAGATGAAGACACACGAGCCGCCCAGGTCCAACCAGCCCTCCGGACACGGGCGCGCGAATATCGCTGTAAATGGGGCACCAACACCAACTGTCACAGGTCCAGCCAGCCCTCCGGACACGGGCACGAGAATGTTGCTGCTGAGGGGAGGCACCATCCGTCATCGGCACTCTCTCCAAATGGCACACAACTGGTCGCTTTCTGAATAATTCAACATGGTTTTAATTAAAGTTGACCAATACAGCACTACAGGAAAGCGAATTAGAATTCGAATACGAATCGGCGACGAATTAAAGGAAGGAACACATCAATGACAAACGAGGCAAAGCACCAATAGTGGGTTTCTTTCGCGAATGCCAATAGCATTTAACAGTGCTAATTTCACTGGCGCCTGTGACATTTCTAATCGTGCCGCTAAGCCGACACGCGTGCTGCACTGAACGGGCACTGTGCAGGGTGCCGACTGGGGAGGGTGCGGCTCGGGACTGAGCCGACTGGGAAGGGGAGCGGCTCGGGACTGAGCCGACTGGGGAGGGTACGGCTCGGGACTGGGCCGACTGGGGGCTCGGGACTGAGCCGACTGGGGAGGGTGCGGCTCGGGACTGAACCGACTGGGAAGGGGAGCGGCTCGGGACTGAGCCGACTGGGGAGGGTGCGGCTCGGGACTGAGCCGACTGGGGGCCGGCGCGGCGCCGGGAGGGAGCCGACTGGGGGCTCGGGACTGAGCCGACTGGGGGCTCGGGACTGAGCCGACTGGGGGCTCGGGACTGAGCCGACTGGGGAGGGTGCGGCTCGGGACTGAGTCGACTGGGGAGGGTGCGGATCGGGACTGAGCCGACTGGGGGCTCGGGACTGAGCCGACTGGGGGCCGGGACTGAGCCGACTGGGGGCTGGGGACTGAGCCGACTGGGGAGGGTGCGGCTCGGGACTGAGCCGACTGGGGGCCGGGACTGAGCCGACTGGGGGCCGGCGCGGCTCGGGACTGAGCCGACTGGGGGCTCGGGACTGAGCCGACTGGGGGCCCGGGACTGAGCCGACTGGGGGCTCGGGACTGAGCCGACGGGGGGCTCGGGACTGAGCCGACTGGGGAGGGTGCGGCTCGGGACTGAGCCGACTGGGGAGGGTGCGGATCGGGACTGAGCCGACTGGGGGCTCGGGACTGAGCCGACTGGGGGCTCGGGACTGAGCCGACTGGGGGCTGGGGACTGAGCCGACTGGGGGACCGGGACTGAGCCGACTGGGGAGGGTGCGGCTCGGGACTGAGCCGACTGGGGAGGGTGCGGCTCGGGACTGAGCCGACTGGGGGCCGGGACTGAGCCGACTGGGGGCCGGCGCGGCTCGGGACTGAGCCGACTGGGGGCCGGGACTGAGCCGACTGGGGGCCGGGACTGAGCCGACTGGGGGCTCGGGACTGAGCCGACTGGGGGCCCGGGACTGAGCCGACTGGGGGCTCGGGACTGAGCCGACTGGGGGCTCGGGACTGAGCCGACTGGGGAGGGTGCGGCTCGGGACTGAGCCGACTGGGGAGGGTGCGGCTCGGGACTGAGCCGACTGGGGGCCGGGACTGAGCCGACTGGGGGCCGGGACTGAGCCGACTGGGGGCCGGGACTGAGCCGACTGGGGGCCGGGACTGAGCCGACTGGGGGCTCGGGACTGAGCCGACTGGGGGCCGGGACTGAGCCGACTGGGGGCCGGGACTGAGCCGACTGGGGGCCGGGACTGAGCCGACTGGGGGCCGGGACTGAGCCGACTGGGGAGGGTGCGGCTCGGGACTGAGCCGCCTGGGGGCCGGGACTGAGCCGACTGGGGGCCGGGACTGAGCCGACTGGGGGCCCGGGACTGAGCCGACTGGGGGCCGGCGCGTTGCGGCGCGGCTCACCGGCGGCGTCGGTCGGCTCCGGCGTCCAGGCGCCGTCCCGACAGACCAGGTTGGTGCAGTCGTCCTGCGGCACAGCGTGCCCCGGCGGGTACAGCTGCCCCTCGCCGGGCCGCTCACAGCCTGCCCAAACGGCGCGCCGGCTCCGTCAGACAGACAGCACAGCACAGACAGCACATCACAGCGCAGACAGCACAGACAGCACAGAAAGACGGCATAGACAGTACAGACAGACAACACAGACAGCACAGATAGACAGACAGCACAGATAGACAGACAGCACAGATAGACAGACAGCACAGCACAGCACAGACAGCACATACAGCACAAACAGCACAGACAGCACCGACAGACGGACAAACAGACAAACACACAGACAGACAGACAGACAGACAGACAGACAGATATACAACGAACAGATACACGACTGACAGACAGACAGACAGATACACGACTTTAGCCACCAACAGACATAGATGGTTCATATCGATATATTACAGGCCGTATGAAAACTCGTCCGTTTACAAACGGCCTGGCCCGAGTCAGGCTGTTTGCAAACGGCCTGGGCGGCCCAGTCACTTTGCAAAAGAACTGAAAAGTCAGGCCGCTTGAAAACGGACTGAAGTTCCAGGCCGTTTGCAAACCGCCTGAAATTTCAGGCCGTTTGGAAACTGCCTAGGTCGCATGAAAACTAACGAGACACCAAGCTGTTTGCAAACGGCATACGCTGTTTGAAAACTGTCTAATCAGTGTGAAGGTAGCTGAGCAATGTTGAGGGCAATAATTTGTTGAAACACGACTGTTGGCAATATGTCGCCCCATGGACTGCCTGTGGCATGGTTCACCCAATTTCATTCACTGGATGAATTTTAAAACCTAAAGTAATATTGTCGGGAACAGGGCCGCGACGAGCACCTGCACAGTTAGAAAATGTTCGAAGCAGACGAGTCCTTCCGCAGACCCGATCATCCACCAGTCTGGATCTATCAAGTCATCCTCAGAAGTTGTTGTTACTTCGCCAGGCCGTTTGTAAATTGACTAGGCCTTTTGAAAACTGCCTCGTCCATTTCTAAATGGCCTAATATTTGAGGTGGTTAGCAAACGGCCAGTGTTTTCAGGCCGTTTGTTTCATACGGCCTGTACCAGACATTCACAGTGAAGCTCCAGTCAACGCTGGGCGCTCAGACTGAGTGAGTAAATACTCTGTACTATACTACACCTTTTTGCATTTGAATTCAAACATTCGCCATAACTGTTTCGGGGGCCATTTCGACAATCGGCGTTGAACACAACTATTCCGACGTTATGTGTTCCATTTCAGCCATTCAGCAAAACCGATTGAACACTGGAGTGAGGGATCTGCAAGACAGTTTAACAGTTCGACAGACTTCGGCATTGAGCGAGCCAGCTCGGCACATGACGACTAGGTTCGACCATTGACGATTTGTTTCACACAATGTTGAACCATTCCCTTAATGTCGAGTTGTAAAGGAAGACCGCCAAATAGTTTTGCACAATAATGGCGATTCTTTGTGACCAACCGCACATTTGTAGTGCCACCTATATGGCGAATGTGTACGAATGTTTTGTCTAATGGTCAAAGGCTACCGCAAAAAGGTGCAGTACCTTCTCTGTACTTAGAGCCCACGCTGGGGATGAAGTCCAGCCTACTCTGTAGGGGAGAGTGGGGTAATTTGGCCGGTGGTGTAAATTGGCCGCCCCCACCTGTACCATGTCTAATAAAAGTGAGTGAAATAACTCTAGTCTCTATTCATTTGTCATGGGTAGAAATAACTGGAGGACAAATGTCAAAACTTTGCCCCTCGTAGTTTTATTAAAAATTAATAAAACGTTAATTTCATTAGAAAATGGTAACTTTTGCTTCTGTTTACAAAGTTGTATAACATGTAGTATTTGGGCTCAAAACGAATTCAGACATTATAGCGCCATTCTTGGGGGTGTTCAGCGGTTCCAAGAGCAATTTCATCTAATTCCGTATAGCCGTGATGACTTTATAGACAAAAATTTTCAGAATGGCAATATGGGGTAATTTGGCCGGGACTAGCGGGGCAACTTGGCCGGTGCGCTCATGGTCACTATGCTAGGACGGCCGAGTTTTCATGGTTAATTGTACCATAAATGACATGATTCATGACCAACTTTGACTTCTTTGATGCCTTACTTCCGATTGGTCAACTGTAAGAGCATGTGACGTCATCAAAGGTTACCAAACGTTTTTTGCTAATAAATCCTTACATAAAAATGGTACAGCCACACAAATGGTCTCATTCTGTTCAGTTCGCCAAGGCGCATCGAATGATATGCATGATGACCTTGAAATCACGTGACATTGAGGTCAAGCGACCTGAGGTAACGTGACCTGAGGTCAACCTTTGACCTTGACTTCTCGAGGTCAACACATATATGTTTCGATGCGCACTGACGAGAGAATTACGATGGTACTCGAAGTTTTGGCCTAGCTTGATTACTTCAAAAGTTATTCGTAAAAAACTGTCTTCGCATCTAGAGCCGCTAATTTGGCTATTTTGACCCCTGTGACCCCTGAGTCAACCTCCAAAATGCGGCAAATGCGTCATAGGACACACGTCATTGCTGAATCTGAAGCTGACTCGCAATATAAGAGAAACTCCCGACCGCAAACTAACACCGGCCAAATTGCCCCACACCCCCGGCCAAATAACCCTGCTAGTGGGGCAATTTGGCCGCCTTGCAGACCTTTGTAATACGTCACAATTTCAATATAAGTAATTACTCTATCATTTCAAGTTCACTGTCCAGTAAAGTAAAATGAATGCGACACCTGCCAGCGTTGAGAAAATGCAGAAATGTGTCGTCAATTTTAAGTTACATCGATTTCTAAAAAAAGCGGCCAAATTACCCCACTCTCCCCTACTTACAGCCCACGCTGGGGATGTAGTCCTACCTACTCTGTACTTAGAGCCCACGCTGGGGATGTAGTCCTACCTACTCTGTACTTACAGCCCACGCTGGGGATGTAGTCCTACCTACTCTGTACTTAGAGCCCACACTGGGGATGTAGTCCTACCTACTCTGTACTTACAGCCCACGCTGGGGATGTAGTCCTACCTACTCTGTACTTACAGCCCACGCTGGGGATGTAGTCCTACCTACTCTGTATTTAGAGCCCACACTGGGGATGTAGTCCTACCTACTCTGTACTTACAGCCCACGCTGGGGATGTAGTCCTACCTACTCTGTACTTACAGCCCACGCTGGGGATGTAGTCCTACCTACTCTGTACTTACAGCCCACGCTGGGGATGCAGTCTTACCTACTCTGTACTTACAGCCCACGCTGGGGATGTAGTCCTACCTACTCTGTACTTAGAGCCCACGCTGGGGATGTAGTCCTACTTACTCTGTACTTACAGCCCACGCTGGGGATGTAGTCCTACCTACTCTGTACTTACAGCCCACGCTGGGGATGCAGTCTTACCTACTCTGTACTTACAGCCCACGCTGGGGATGTAGTCCTACCTACTCTGTACTTAGAGCCCACGCTGGGGATGTAGTCCTACCTACTCTGTAGGTACTTAGAGCCCACACTGGGGATGTAGTCCTACCTACTCTGTACTTACAGCCCACGCTGGGGATGTAGTCCTACCTACTCTGTACTTACAGCCCACGCTGGGGATGTAGTCCTACCTACTCTGTACTTACAGCCCACGCTGGGGATGTAGTCCTACCTACTCTGTACTTAGAGCCCACGCTGGGGATGTAGTCCTACCTACTCTGTACTTACAGCCCACGCTGGGGATGTAGTCCTACCTACTCTGTACTTACAGCCCACGCTGGGGATGTAGTCCTACCTACTCTGTACTTACAGCCCACGCTGGGGATGTAGTCCTACCTACTCTGTAGGTACTTAGAGCCCACGCTGGGGATGTACATAGTCGTACCTACTCTGTAATTACAGCCCACGCTGGGGATGTAGTCCTACCTACTCTGTACTTACAGCCCACGCTGGGGATGTAGTCCTACCTACTCTGTACTTACAGCCCACGCTGGGGATGTAGTCCTACCTACTCTGTACTTACAGCCCACGCTGGGGATGTAGTCCTACCTACTCTGTACTTACAGCCCACGCTGGGGATGTAGTCCTACCTACTCTGTACTTAGAGCCCACGCTGGGGATGTAGTCCTACTTACTCTGTACTTACAGCCCACGCTGGGGATGTAGTCCTACCTACTCTGTACTTACAGCCCACGCTAGGGATGTAGTCCTACCTACTCTGTACTTACAGCCCACGCTGGGGATGTAGTCCTACCTACTCTGTACTTACAGCCCACACTGGGGATGTAGTCCTACCTACTCTGTACTTACAGCCCACGCTGGGGATGTAGTCCTACCTACTCTGTACTTAGAGCCCACGCTGGGGATGTAGTCCTACTTACTCTGTACTTACAGCCCACGCTGGGGATGTAGTCCTACCTACTCTGTACTTACAGCCCACGCTGGGGATGTAGTCCTACCTACTCTGTAGGTACTTAGAGCCCACGCTGGGGATGTACATAGTCGTACCTACTCTGTACTTACAGCCCACGCTGGGGATGTAGTCCTACCTACTCTGTACTTACAGTCCACGCTGGGGATGTAGTCCTACCTACTCTGTACTTACAGCCCACGCTGGGGATGTAGTCCTACCTACTCTGTACTTAGAGCCCACACTGGGGATGTAGTCCTACCTACTCTGTACTTACAGCCCACGCTGGGGATGTAGTCCTACCTACTCTGTACTTACAGCCCACGCTGGGGATGTAGTCCTACCTACTCTGTACTTACAGCCCACGCTGGGGATGTAGTCCTACCTACTCTGTAGGTACTTAGAGCCCACGCTGGGGATGTACATAGTCGTACCTACTCTGTACTTACAGCCCACGCTGGGGATGTAGTCCTACCTACTCTGTACTTACAGCCCACGCTGGGGATGCAGTCTTACCTACTCTGTACTTACAGCCCACGCTGGGGATGTAGTCCTACCTACTCTGTACTTACAGCCCACGCTGGGGATGTAGTCCTACCTACTCTGTACTTACAGCCCACGCTGGGGATGTAGTCCTACCTACTCTGTACTTACAGCCCACGCTGGGGATGTAGTCCTACCTACTCTGTACTTACAGCCCACGCTGGGGATGTAGTCCAGCACCACCTCGGGCCCAGCTCCGTTGTCCTTGCAGAAGACAAACATACACTTGGAGGCAATCCGGTCGAGCGTTTCGCCAACAGGGAACAGCTTTCCCTTGTAGACGCAGCCTACCGGTCCTGCGGGCACAGTCCGCAGTCACCCAAATGTTATCTTCCAGTCACTTATAGCCGCCTGCTACCTGCAACTATAGCTATAGTTTAGTTAAAGTATAGTTAAGTGACTATAGTATAAATAAGTTTGACGTATTTCGTAGCTGACCGCGTCATGTGCTGGGAAGACGGCAGGGCGCTCGGTCAAAACCGCCTGCTATAAAACAAAACAGACGGGCTCAGCACGCGACCAATGGTGAGTCAGTGTGCACGAGGCCCCGTTGGTGTATAGGTACCACTGCCGCCGCCGGCGGCTCTCAGCAGCCGCGCCGGCCGGCCGACTCGCCTTCTGGCTGGCTGGTGGGCGCCGGCCCGCACTCGGGACACGTGCCGTAGCGCGAGCAGCACTGCCGAAAGCCCAGCGTGTCGCCGTCGTGCTGCAGCGGACAGCAGTCCTCCTGGGCCAGCTTCTCCGAGTCTGCCGAGACGGCCGGGTAACGCCGGGTAACGCCGGGTAATGGGGCAGCGGGGTAACGGGGCGGCGGGGTAACGGAGTAACGCGGAAACGGGCGTGTCATGGAATGGTCCGCAATGTTGAGAAATGTCTGCAAATGGGATTTGTATCTTGTCTAAAGCATGTTGACATTTTTCGTAGCTGTCTAATATCTAACTTTGTGCATTCGAATAGTAACCCATTGTAGCATTTCGCTTCCTCTGCACCTAGAAAATGACTCGAATCCGGGCGGTGTTAGCGGCGCCCATTTGGGCCCACCCGCGGCGGCACCGACGGGTAGTGTGTGTGTCCGGGCTCACCCACCGACGGGTAGTGTGTGTGTCCGGGCTCACCCACCGACGGGTAGTGTGTGTGTCCGGGCTCACCCACCGACGGGTATTGTGTGTGTCCGGGCTCCCCCACCGACGGGTAGTGTGTGTGTCTGGGCTCACCCACCGACGGCTATTGTGTGTGTCTGGGCTCACCCACCGACGGGTATTGTGTGTGTCCGGGCTCCCCCACCGACGGGTAGTGTGTGTGTCTGGGCTCACCCACCGACGGCTATTGTGTGTGTCTGGGCTCACCCACCGACGGGTATTGTGTGTGTCTGGGCTCCCCCACCGACGGGTAGTGTGTGTGTCTGGGCTCACCCACCGACGGCTATTGTGTGTGTCTGGGCTCACCCACCGACGGGTATTGTGTGTGTCTGGGCTCACCCACCGACGGGGCAGACGGGGCAGAAGCCGAGCGTCTGGCAGCAGTTGTTGAAGCCGTAGAGGTCGCCGCGCTGCTGGAGCCCGCAGCAGGTCTCCTGTGCCTTCTTCATGGTCGGGCCGTCGGGCACGGACGCTGCGGCCGGCCACAGAGGGACACAGTCACCGACACAGTCACCGGCACAGTCACCGACAGTTACCGATACAGAGGCACACAGTCACCGACACAGTCACCGACACAGAGGCACAGCGGGGCACAGTCACCGACACAGTCACCGACACAGTCACCGCACAGTCACCGACACAGAGGCACAGCGGGGCACAGTCACCGACACAGTCACCAACACAGTCACCAACACAGTCACCGACACAGTCACCGACACAGTCACCGCACAGTCACCGACACAGAGGCACAGCGGGGCACAGTCACCGACACAGTCACCGACACAGTCACCGCACAGTCACCGACACAGAGGCACAGCGGGGCACAGTCACCGACACAGTCACCAACACAGTCACCAACACAGTCACCGACACAGTCACCGACACAGTCACCGACACAGTCACCGACACAGCCACCGACACAGTCACCGACACAGTCACCGACACAGTCACCGACACAGAGGCACAGCGGGGCACAGTCACCGACACAGAGTCACAGAGGGACACAGTCACCGGCACAGTGGCACAGCGGGGCACAGTCACCGACACAGTCACCGACACAGTCACCGGCACAGTCACCGACACAGTCACCGACACAGTCACCGCACAGTCACCGACACAGAGGCACAGCGGGGCACAGTCACCGACACAGTCACCGACACAGTCACCGCACAGTCACCGACACAGAGGCACAGCGGGGCACAGTCACCGACACAGTCACCAACACAGTCACCAACACAGTCACCGACACAGTCACCGACACAGTCACCGACACAGTCACCGACACAGAGGCACAGAGGGGCACAGTCACCGACACAGTCACCGACACAGTCACCGGCACAGTCACCGACACAGTCACCGACACAGAGTCACAGAGGGACACAGCCACCGACACAGTCACCGACACAGTCACCGACACAGTCACCGACACAGTCACCGACACAGAGGCACAGAGGGGCACAGTCACCGACACAATCACCGACACAGTCACCGGCACAGTCACCGACACAGTCACCGACACAGAGTCACAGAGGGACACAGCCACCGACACAGTCACCGACACAGTCACCGACACAGTCACCGACACAGAGGCACAGCGGGGCACAGTCACCGACACAGAGTCACAGAGGGACACAGTCACCGGCACAGTGGCACAGCGGGGCACAGTCACCGACACAGTCACCGACACAGTCACCGGCACAGTCACCGACACAGTCACCGACACAGAGGCACACAGTCACCGACACAGTCACCGACACAGTCACCGACACAGTCACCGGCAGGCGACACAGTCACCGACACAGTCACCGACACAGTCACCGACAGTCACCGACACAGTCACCGACACAGTCACCGACACAGTCACCGACACAGTCACCGACACCGTCACCGACACAGTCACCGACACAGTCACCAACACTGTCACCGACACAGTCACCGACACAGTCACCGACACAGTCACCGACACAGTCACCGACACCGTCACCGACACAGTCACCGACACAGTCACCAACACTGTCACCGACACAGTCACCGACACAGTCACCGACACAGTCACCGACACAGTCACCGACACAGTCACCGACACAGAGGCACAGAGGGGCACAGTCACCGACACAGTCACCGACACAGTCACCGGCACAGTCACCGACACAGTCACCGACACAGAGTCACAGAGGGACACAGCCACCGACACAGTCACCGACACAGTCACCGACACAGTCACCGACACAGTCACCGACACAGAGGCACAGAGGGGCACAGTCACCGACACAATCACCGACACAGTCACCGGCACAGTCACCGACACAGTCACCGACACAGAGTCACAGAGGGACACAGCCACCGACACAGTCACCGACACAGTCACCGACACAGTCACCGACACAGAGGCACAGCGGGGCACAGTCACCGACACAGAGTCACAGAGGGACACAGTCACCGGCACAGTGGCACAGCGGGGCACAGTCACCGACACAGTCACCGACACAGTCACCGGCACAGTCACCGACACAGTCACCGACACAGAGGCACACAGTCACCGACACAGTCACCGACACAGTCACCGACACAGTCACCGGCAGGCGACACAGTCACCGACACAGTCACCGACACAGTCACCGGCAGGCGACACAGTCACCGACACAGTCACCGACACAGTCACCGACACAGTCACCGCACAGTCACCGACACAGAGGCACAGCGGGGCACAGTCACCAACACAGTCACCAACACAGTCACAGAGGGACACAGTCACCGGCACAGTCACCGACACAGTCACCGACACAGTCACCGACACAGAGGCACAGAGGGGCACAGTCACCGACACAGTCACCGACACAGTCACCGACACCGTCACCAACACAGTCACCGACACAGTCACCGACACAGTCACCGACACAGTCACCGACACAGAGGCACAGAGGGGCACAGTCACCGACACAGTCACCGACACAGAGGCACAGCGGGGCACAGTCACCGACACAGAGTCACAGAGGGACACAGTCACCGGCACAGTGGCACAGCGGGGCACAGTCACCGACACAGTCACCGACACAGTCACCGGCACAGTCACCGACACAGTCACCGACACAGAGGCACACAGTCACCGACACAGTCACCGACACAGTCACCGACACAGTCACCGGCAGGCGACACAGTCACCGACACAGTCACCGACACAGTCACCGACAGTCACCGACACAGTCACCGACACAGTCACCGACACAGTCACCGACACAGTCACCGACACCGTCACCGACACAGTCACCGACACAGTCACCAACACTGTCACCGACACAGTCACCGACACAGTCACCGACACCGTCACCGACACAGTCACCGACACAGTCACCGACACAGTCACCGACACAGTCACCGGCAGGCGACACAGTCACCGACACAGTCACCGACACAGTCACCGACAGTCACCGACACAGTCACCGACACAGTCACCGACACAGTCACCGACACAGTCACCGACACCGTCACCGACACAGTCACCGACACAGTCACCAACACTGTCACCGACACAGTCACCGACACAGTCACCGACACAGTCACCGACACAGTCACCGACACAGTCACCGACACAGAGGCACAGAGGGGCACAGTCACCGACACAGTCACCGACACAGTCACCGGCACAGTCACCGACACAGTCACCGACACAGAGTCACAGAGGGACACAGCCACCGACACAGTCACCGACACAGTCACCGACACAGTCACCGACACAGTCACCGACACAGAGGCACAGAGGGGCACAGTCACCGACACAATCACCGACACAGTCACCGGCACAGTCACCGACACAGTCACCGACACAGAGTCACAGAGGGACACAGCCACCGACACAGTCACCGACACAGTCACCGACACAGTCACCGACACAGAGGCACAGCGGGGCACAGTCACCGACACAGAGTCACAGAGGGACACAGTCACCGGCACAGTGGCACAGCGGGGCACAGTCACCGACACAGTCACCGACACAGTCACCGGCACAGTCACCGACACAGTCACCGACACAGAGGCACACAGTCACCGACACAGTCACCGACACAGTCACCGACACAGTCACCGGCAGGCGACACAGTCACCGACACAGTCACCGACACAGTCACCGACACAGTCACCGCACAGTCACCGACACAGAGGCACAGCGGGGCACAGTCACCAACACAGTCACCAACACAGTCACAGAGGGACACAGTCACCGGCACAGTCACCGACACAGTCACCGACACAGTCACCGACACAGAGGCACAGAGGGGCACAGTCACCGACACAGTCACCGACACAGTCACCGACACAGTCACCGCACAGTCACCGACACAGAGGCACAGCGGGGCACAGTCACCAACACAGTCACCAACACAGTCACAGAGGGACACAGTCACCGGCACAGTCACCGACACAGTCACCGACACAGTCACCGCACAGTCACCGACACAGAGGCACAGCGGGGCACAGTCACCGACACAGTCACCGACACAGTCACCGCACAGTCACCGACACAGAGGCACAGCGGGGCACAGTCACCGACACAGTCACCAACACAGTCACCAACACAGTCACCGACACAGTCACCGACACAGTCACCGACACAGTCACCGACACAGAGGCACAGAGGGACACAGCCACCGACACAGTCACCGACACAGTCACCGACACAGTCACCGACACAGTCACCGACACAGAGGCACAGAGGGGCACAGTCACCGACACAATCACCGACACAGTCACCGGCACAGTCACCGACACAGTCACCGACACAGAGTCACAGAGGGACACAGCCACCGACACAGTCACCGACACAGTCACCGACACAGTCACCGACACAGAGGCACAGCGGGGCACAGTCACCGACACAGAGTCACAGAGGGACACAGTCACCGGCACAGTGGCACAGCGGGGCACAGTCACCGACACAGTCACCGACACAGTCACCGGCACAGTCACCGACACAGTCACCGACACAGAGGCACACAGTCACCGACACAGTCACCGACACAGTCACCGACACAGTCACCGGCAGGCGACACAGTCACCGACACAGTCACCGACACAGTCACCGACAGTCACCGACACAGTCACCGACACAGTCACCGACACAGTCACCGACACAGTCACCGACACCGTCACCGACACAGTCACCGACACAGTCACCAACACTGTCACCGACACAGTCACCAACACTGTCACCGACACAGTCACCGACACAGTCACCGACACAGTCACCAACACTGTCACCGACACAGTCACCAACACCGTCACCGACACAGTCACCGACACAGTCACCGACACAGTCACCGACACAGTCACCGGCAGGCGACACAGTCACCGACACAGTCACCGACACAGTCACCGACAGTCACCGACACAGTCACCGACACAGTCACCGACACAGAGGCACAGCGGGGCACAGTCACCGACACAGTCACCGACACAGTCACCGACACAGTCACCAAC